AGTCTGGCTGTCGTTCTGACGTACAGAAATATCGAGGTGTCCATAAAACACCCTCTCTCGCCAACATCTTTGAAAAAATTATCCCCGTAAAAATTACCGAGTTTTGCATAGCCAATCAAGTTATTAGCCCTTCCCATCATGTTTTTTACCTGATCGCCCTTGCGAAACATGTCATCCGTCCTTTCTCAATCTACTTCGTAATGACCATCTATCCGTCGTCTTTATTTATTTTAATCTTAGTAAAGCCTTTGATAAAGTACCACATAAATGACTCTTGATTAAATTGAAGCTATGGGAATTCGCAGTCCACTAATAGACTTTCTCAGGTCATACCTGTCTAATCGTAAACAAAGGTTTTGGTGGGATCTTCACTTTCCAGTGAAAACCCTATTGTAAGTGGTGTCCTACAAGGCACCGTTTTAGGTCCTCTTTTGTTCTTGCTTTACATAAATGATATTTCGGCAGCAGTTAAACACTCTCAATCACTTATTTATGCCGATGATCTTAAATGTGTATATTCTTTCAATAAATCTACGAGCCTTCATTGCCTGGAGCAAATCCATGCTGACTTGCTTGCTCTCTCAGCTTGGAGGTCAAAATGGCTAATGGAAGTCTCTCCGTCTAAATGTCGCTATATGTGTTTTGGACCTGATAGGCTACCCCAACCAGTGGTCTTTCAAGGCACACCTATGACTGAATGTACCACCATCAAGGATTTAGGCCTAAGCTACACTAGTAATCTTGATCTCTCGCCACACGCTGACAGAATTACAGCCAAAGCAGCCCAGATTTGTGGCTTTATTTCTTACAATTTCTATCTTTTTGAAATTAAATTAAGGCTCTATCGTATGTTTGTACTTCCCATTCTCGAGTATTGTTGCCCATTCTTTTGTTTGATGAATGAAGCCAGTCGTTTAAAAATTGAAAATGTCCAAAGACGTCTTTTAAAAAAAAACTTTCAGATGGGGAACATCCCAATATCTCCTACTCAGATAGATGCCAGCTAATTAACCTAAAAATTTTATGGGTTCGAAGACTAGAAGCGGGCTTCTGTCTCCGCTTTCGCACTAATCATAGTTCAAATTTTCCTCGGATTTCACTTATCACTAGTAGTCGCCCATACAATCTTCGCAATTCGTCTCTGATTATACCTCCTCCAGCGTCCTCCACCTCTAAGCGCTCCCTTTTTTCGCTTCCCGATATACTTTCCTCTGGAATAACCTTCCAATAAATATAAGACCTTCAGAAAATCTACACACCTTTAAGAGAAGGCTACGCCTTTATCTGAATACTGACTCGATTAAACTTTTATTTTCCTCATCCTTCCCAGACAACTTTTTCTATGACACTGAGAAAGGGCCACCGGGAATTTAGTATGCCGCCATTAAATTTCCGTATCTGTTCACATTCCTTTCTGAGTAGTCTTGCTTCCTAAGATCCCTCACCAGAAATGTTAATTTTTCCTATTTTTCAGTTCATGCATCGTGCCCTCACAGAATGCGCTCCATCGATGGTCTTGGCGAAACCTTCTGTATTCCCCATATACTAGTAGTCTGGTCGCATCTCCTTTGCCCCATCCTCGGATGGACTCGGTGGAATGTAACTGACCGCATCTGGGTTCCTATCAGCTAGAGACTGGTTTTCAATTTCGCCACTTATTCGTCTTTTTCAAGGCCACATACAGGCCAGTGCTGACCGACCCGCCTTCTTACCCCTTTATGAAATCCGTTATACAATGCCATATACAGCTGACATTTATTTCGGCCCTGTTGCTGTCCGACTATATTCCACTCTATATCGCCACATGCAGGCCAGTCCTGCTTGCATTTTTCTGATTCTATTTTTTCGAGGGTTTTTTTCTCCTGTAAAATTAATCCAATCATTTTTAAATTTTCAAATTGAGTTTTTATTCACCTCTCGTTTTTCATTTTGCTTAACGGACTTCAAATTTCAAAAACGATGTATTGCACTTTGTACAGATTTTGCCTACCTCGTCTAAAATTCGCATGTAAATTTATTTATACTTGCTTTAATGGGACCCCGGCGGGTCTTTAATAAAATAATTGACTTAAATTAAAAAGAATAATATAAAAAATGTACACAAATGTGCAGAGTTCATTCTACAAATTGGACTAAATAAAACTAACCGTAGCCCATTTTCAACCTGACTTGATTGCTTTAACACAAGCATGATTAAATGCGCTGGTAAAAGATGTTGAATTTATGCTAGATGGTTTTTAGCTTCACTGAATTGACCGAAACGAACGAAGGGGTGGAAGGATTGCGATATTTATACGAGATGGCATCAACTACGTCAGAGTTGAGTCTTCCCCATTTCGGAACATTGATTGTGAAATACTCAGTTGTTAGTTGAAAGTGTCAAACCACCCAAGCCTCCGTATGACCCTGGTTTACCGACCGCCGGGATAGCGGACGGATGTGGACGATGCACTTATCATGGAGATAAAAGAAATTTGTCAAAGCAAACGCGTAATGCTATTTGGTAATTATAGCTGTTCAGGCATTGCCCACGCCCCTTGGCCTAAGTGGCCACAGCGTTCTTGTTTGGGAGTATAGTCATTTTTCTGTAACCGAAATTCGAGCTGCTGAGGAAAGTAATGTATGGAAAGGGAAGTATCCCAAATGAAAATTCTGCTACGGAAGATGAACCGGAATGCAGCACAAGGGCCTGACACAGAAAGCGATTGGCTCTTCTTCAAGAACGTAATGCAGCATTTGGTAAGAGCTGTTGCCCACTTAAGAGGAAACCGCGCACTTCCCGACCAGAATGGGTGACGTCAGAAATAGAGGAAAACCTTAAACTGAATAGGAGACATTGGAAAAACTACGCCAGATATCAACAACCAGAGCATTTCGCTGACGTCAAAAAACAGATAAATTTATGTCGGAATCTGTTGAGGAGGGAACGGGCAGAATTTGACTCAAGACTTCTAAAAATATCCCGCAAAATTCAAAAAAATTCGCCGGATACGCGGATATGGCGAAACGCAGCCGGAACTGCATTCCTTGCAATAAAGATAATACAATTCTGATTAGGCGGACCTGTTGTCTGATTTCTTCACATCTGTGTATACCGAGTAATAGCAAACAACAACCAGAGAACAAAAATATTCAACAAATATGTCTCAACCAACTACACAGTCCAAGAAGGACCGATCACTCAACCGACCGAGGTGACAGAACGCGCCCTCATTTAGGTCTGTTTTGGTGAAGGAACAGGCAAAAGAACTAACAAACAACTTTCCAACGCCCCTTCCAATGGAACGGACAAAATCCCACCATTTATGCTGAAGCATATGATATATGCTCCAGTAATCCTCTCTAAGCTATTCGCTCTACATCAGCCAGGTGCAGTTTTGTCAGACGTTTGGAAATACTCGAACATTATATCTATCTTTAAAACAGAAGCCGATCTGATACGCAAAGCTACCGTAATGTTCACTTAACAGCGGCGATTGCTAAGATCCTCGAAAGAACCTTTATAACCAATTACTAGACTATCTGATAAACACTAACCTCATACTCCCGCACAACATGCATTTTTACCCAAAAAGCTACGTCAATGCTGTCATCCAACCTCTAGAATTCGTCTACAGCAATAGAGACGATGGGAACATATTCTATTCTACACTAATAGCAAATGTCCAAAACAGAGGAATCCGCTGTGATCGTCAACAGATCGCTGGCGTAGAACTGGGGAGATGACTCCAAAATCCGCGAATATCGTCTTTCGCGAAAGGCCATAGAAAGACGGGGTAAATTCTTTACGATGCAGGATGAGGTCATGGGGATGTAAGGTGATGATAGGACCATTCTCGGGCTGACATTTTTGGACTGAGATATTGTTAGTGCCTCTCAGGCGACGAGTGATCGATCATTGAGCCATCAAAAAGCGCTGGTTCGGGGTAAATGCAGGGCTGCTTTCGCACTTTGGGCCTCAAGAAATGTAAGCATATCCTATACCACGATTCAGCAAACCATTTCCCTCGCACCTTTGTGTGCGCTAGCAGTTCTTTGGCATCTCGCTCCCTAGCGGTAGATAGGCCTGCGCTCCCGCTGGGTTTGCAGGTCTTGAGCATGGCTGCCCAGTTAGCCTCCTCCTTCTAACTTGTTAAAGTGTTGTCCTTGGTTGAAATCCTGGTCAAATGTTTTTTGTGGATCAGAGCTTGTGGTGGCACGCATAGGTGCGGGCCCGGCTGTGCCAGCTACCTCCGCCCTCTCCCGCCCCCAGCCTTTTCGACCACGTCTTGACACTGGGCCCGGGTGGAAAGGAAGAGAGATTTTTTGAAGACGAAGGCAGGCTCTCTTCCGGAGAGCCTGTCTTCGTCTTCAAATAATCAACCCGGATATCTAAACTTTGCCAACTGGAAGAGAGATTGTAGTAGATGCTGCGCGAGCCCACCCTCACTATAAGCTAATTTACACGTGAGTCACCGTGCCTGCCCCACCTTGGTGTGGAGCAAACGATAGGTATCATCGGACATGTTGGTCGGACTTTTCGGTCGGAAGAGCCTGAAACCTGCAAGCCACTAATTTAACTTAGACAACATCGATCTAGTTGACCTCGTAGACTGCTGCTTTTGTCTTCAGGACACTTATCCAGGCCAGCTGATCCTAGGTTGTCTCCCCGCGGTTACGTGTTGATTTGTAGGTGTTTCAGAGAGTTCCTCAAGTTGTCTTTTTGTCCCCTTTGTCGACAAGACTCCATGGCGCCATCGCCGTAGAAAGATCGCTTAGATAGGCGCTTCTGATCCATCCTCTCAGTTCATGTTACCTCACCAGGGCTTGGAAGCTGGGGATTTCTGAATCTAAAATTCTGCCTCACTACCTCAGCTTCAGTACCCTGCAGAGCCAGCTTAGATAAAAGTGGTTGAGTTTCTTAGCTTGCCCTACGTAAATTGTCCATGTCTCCACTTCATTCAGTAGTGATGCCAGATGGCATATTTGCACATCTTGGGTTTGGTGTTGAGGTGGAAACCATGGCGATTGCACATGGAGGCTCGCAGCTGACCGAAGGTCTGGCTGGCTTCGGAGATCTCATGTCGTCGTTCTTCTTATTTACCGTAATTATACTTCCGAGGCCTGTGAACCTGTCCACTGATTCGAGTTAGCCTCCATCAGCGTTGGTATGTTGTTCAGTATATCCCATATTGTGCTGCGAAATGTGCATAACTACCGTCTTCTCCGCGCTGATGTTAAGTCCGAAGTTAGAGCAAACAGGACTGACGAGATCCACAGTCTGGTAAATGTCCCCCTTCATTGCTTTATTTAGCGCGAATATGTTGTTAATAAACAGGTCTTTGCCTGGACTCAAAGAATAAATATAGGCGGACATGTACGCAAGTAGAAGTAGAAAAAACATAGTGACAACAAGAGTGCGGCTTGATAATTGCAATTGGTGTCTAAGTTTTTACAGGTCGCATTTTGGCGTATGAAACCAAAGCGTTTTTCATGTCGCCACAATGTCATCCGCAAATGTTTCGTGGAGGTTAATCTTGAACACCCTCAAGGACGCTTAAAGACGATGACTTCTAAACAGCTAGCGGTATCAAAATCAGTTAAATGTGTAGTTGTATATTGAAGGTAACAAATCAACGGGACCTCCATACTACTCTGGTCTACAGACCCCCAAGACGGCGGAAAGACGCGAGCAATGCATCACCGTGGCGTTAAAGAAAATCAGCTGTAGCAAACATGTAGTATTTGAAGCATTTTGCCCTCGGTAATACTTGGATCTTTTAGCTCTCCAGACATCGAGTTATATTTGGAGCATTGCACTCCGTCGGAAAACTCACTTGGACAAAAGCTACTTCGGATGGTCGCTGACGAGTTCCATACGCAGCGCATTGCCGTGGACTTGCGATTTCGAAATGGAGAGTAGTCCATCTGTTTGGATCCTACCATTTCTAGAGCCACAACTGTATCCTTTGACTTCCAACACGCCTCTGGGCTGAAGTGATCAGTGCGTTCTGGTCTACGAATAAAGTCCTTTTTCAATACCCGAGATTCGAATAGTAAAGAAGAGGAATGCATTGATAGGTGATTATTTCGAAAAGGACTGCTGAGTGAGACAGACTGGAACTCTGCACATCGTCTGTGTTTCCTTTAAGAACTTGATTCAGCACCTGGTAGACAGCTTTCGCCTGCTTAAGAAATCGTTTGTTTCCTGACCGAAATGGGTGACACAGGAAATGAAAAGTGTATCTCAGGAAGAAAAAGTACTATGGAGGAGATATGTCAAGTGTCAACAGTCAGAACATTTAGCTGAATCTAAGAAACAGCAAAATAAGTGTCGAAATCTCCTCGGGAAAGTAGGAGCGGCATTTGCGTTAAGAATAGTCAAGGGAACACTAAACGAATCAGAAAACAGCTTTTCGCATCCGTGAATAAAATGAAACGCAATCGGGACCCTTTTGGTTGTCTGAAGGCTTATCAGAGAGATAATTTGATCTACAGCTCACGCAAGACGAGCTTCTTTTCCATTTTTTTTTATCTGCATGTATATCGCGGAGCCGCCTTTTGATGAGAGAATACTAGGACAAATTCCCCCCCTCCCACCTCACCCCCGGAAATGCAATTAACGTGGTGACTTTCACAATGGACGCAGTAAGAAAAACTCAGACAGTTACAGCCCACCAAATCGCCTGGTATGAATGACGTATCCGCAAAATTCCTGAACGAGCTCGCACATCAGCCGGCCTACCCGTTCTCTAAGATCATTGAAATTTCGATGGAGCCGGAGCTCTCTACACTACTTGGAAGCTAGCCAATGTAGGCCTCATATATAAAGATGGGAGAGAACCCTACCAAATAGCTTCACACCAGTAGAGGAAATAATAAAAAGGAACTAATGAGGCATACTGAGGATAACAATTTAATTAATGCACACTAACATGGATTTAGTAGCTCTCAATCCCGCATCACTACTCCGCTCACATCCATAGAAAGCTGGACGAACTTTTTAGAAATGCAGTTGTCAGTAGATACAATCTACAGCGTATTCATCAAACCTTTTGAGGGGGTTCCACTCAGACGGCTAATATCTAAACTGCGTCCAATGGGTATGATTGACAACTGTCTCAAGTGGTTGACAGAATTTCACGCAGGCAGACGTCAGCGTGCTTGTATTTGTGACGCCAAATTTGGGTGGGAAACCATTCACAATGTGGTTCCCCAGGAGAGCGTTCTCAGCCTGTTCCCCATTTATGTGTACAGCTGTCTAGATCTCCTGACCCGTGAGAAGGCAATGTTTGCTGTTGAACTGAAAGTATAGAATTCAATAGGGAAGCCAGTGGATGCGATGAACTTGCAAAATAACCCTGATTGATATAACTGTGTTGCAATGAATGGCTTCGCTACCTCGATTTCAGCAAATTTTGAGTCATTCGAATACGTTTCAGTCGCAGAAAGGTTCCGAGTTATGAATTTCGGGCTACCAACTGGGGTTAGTAAACGAGTTAAGGGATCTAGGTGTGTGGACGACGTACCCACCCAAGCCTTCGTCTCCCTGCGCGAAGACCGAAAAAAAGTCTCTAGATATCCTGAGACCTATCAGGAGATCATTCCTTCACTTGGACGAAGAGCTTTTTCGTCGAGTGTTTGGAACATTTATCGGGCTAATGTTAGAATGTTGCATGCAGGCGTGGCGTCCATGGACGAAGCCAGACCACGCCCTTTTGATGAAAGTTCGATTGCAGTACCTCATGAAATGCTAACTGAAATTCTTGAATGTCCTCCATTAGAAAGGATAACTTGCGCGCGGAGGTAATTTTGATCATCGTGAATTCACGTCAGGCTGTTGTCATTTGAGTGCGTCCCGGTACTCGGCAAAGTCTGACATCATCATCTGGTCTGCGTAGACGAGCATCTACTTCATGATCTTACAAAATGTGAATGGGTTTTTTAAAAGTCAGTTCCGTCTCCTTTTATCTCGTATACGGTAGTCTTCTGATCGCACTCATATCTATTTGTATTTATTTGTTCATGAATAGTGTAGTGGCTTGGGCCTTGTTTCTTATGGCTTACTTGCCACCAAGCTCCATCGTCCCTTCTTCTAAGAATTCTTATGATTGTAGGCGTCTAATAACCGTTGGATCTTTGTATGAGGGCACTGAAATATAGTGGACTTCAGAATTTTAAGTGTATTTGTGCCTTGACTTTTTCTTTTGGCTTTCCCCAGGACGGTTTGATTGACCCGAGAAACCGGCGTCTTATTTGGGCTTTGGCACTGGGAGGGCACTTTCGACTTGGAGAGGTATTCTTACGTTTCTCTCATCACTTCGAGTATTTATGACCCCTATAACTATCCAAAACCCTTATCATTTTTCAGAAAAGTTCGAAAAATGCGGGTTGTCATTTCCAGATGAAATTTAATCTTGTGCTTCCTTTTTTCTCGTATATATACGAGAAAAAAGGAGGCCGGAGGAAAGGATTTCTTCTTTTACTTGGTGTTTTAATTTTCCGACAGTTCTTAACTTACTACTAGTTGGTTGTGGACAGTCACTTCTGCGCACTTCGTCCTGATAGCCTAATACGCTTTCTTCTCGCCCCGGTTGGCCCCGGGGGTTCGTGTTACGATTGACTAGATTTTTTTCAATAATCTTAGTGGACACTGTCCACACGAGGACAGTAAGTTGATGCGCATACTCAGACGAGTTGGGGCCGTTGTAGCCCGGGGCGATTTAATTTGCTAGACAGGCGCCTAAATTCTGGTCAAAGTGCGTGCGTGCTTACGCGCAAAGGGACCCTCAGGCTTGACGTGCAAAATGCGCTCGGGTGAGCAGAAAAGCTCCTTTCCTCGTACAGATTGAGCACTGCCAGCCAATCTAGTTACTAGCCCCGCGCTAGCCCGCAAGTCAATCGGGCTAGCAAATTTTTGGTCCTGGGAGGCACGCGATAGTTGTGTATTTAAGCTGTCGACGATTCACTGACTGCATACTCATGCAATTCGACGCTATTTGACGGCTGTAGATAGGGACAAGCAGCTAACTCCGGCCACTGTCCAACCAGGCACTTTTCTGCCTGTAATTGTAACCGTCCAACTTCTGTCTAACCTCTTCCGTATGCGAATTATATGTAGCCAGTGGTATTTTCTTGATTCTTACACCAATAGACATGTCTGCACTTCGTAAACCCCCAATGTTGGCAGACAAATTTGTTACCGGCAGTATCTTATGGCTAATCTCCAAAGAAGAGCATAGTCGCACGACAAATGCTACATATACCCGGACGTTCCATAAGCTTCCTCTTAAAATGTCCTCGCTTACACATCTTATATCCGCAAGCCAGCCGTCTTCCTAAAACGACGTAATACCAGCCTGCTCATTTAGTGACTGCAAGTACGACAGATGCCGTGATCTTCAGCTTGGACGACAGGAAGTGTTTTCAAACACATTGTCGTGCTGGAGTCATGGTCTGCGTCGCTGATCTTTTACCTAGGATCCCGAATGAATTTTTAGGTTAACCCAACACAAGTCTGGTTACCGCACAGGCTTCCGGATGCGCTGATGACTGCGCTGTTTGTCAGTCTACAATCCCGGAGTAAAATCAGTTTAGGGAAGAAAGCACACGCCCAGTTGTCCATCATGAACCGCTCGGGGCGACTGTTTAGTTTTGTGGTTCAGAAGATTGGTGTAAGGTAGGGTAGCCTATCTCATGCAGGCCATTCATTTAGTTATGTGTATGAACTGTAAACTGCGTCTTCGTGGGGTGACCTCGTTTTCCCATGATGTTTGTCGCACCATGTTCTATGCGTCCCGCACGAGAAGCTTGTGCACCTCACTGTAGAGTGCGTCTGGGCAGTTCTTATTGGCAATGTCCAGCTTAAACTCCGCTCTTACATGTATAACTCAGTTTTTAGAACTACAAAAAGGGCTTACGGGGATGTTTGCTCGGTTGAAGTATCTTCATAGTGACAAAGACTGTGGAACCTCTGGACAACCTCGAAATCTCACAGAAACTCTTCTATCAGCGCCGATTCGAGCATTGTTTTTATCTTTACTCCTGTTCCTTGCCTGAGACCTACTGAACATATTTGAAATTTAATTCTTCCCAAATCAAAACCCGTAATCACGATGGGTGCCCTCCGTCAGTCAGATATGTTTTTATGACGAAAGCCCTAATTAATTGCAAAACGTATCGCATAGTGCACCGTAGCTTGGCGCTGACAAGGCAATGAAGTCAGTATGTATAGGGTCGGTCATTTGAGTCCATCTACGTGCTTAACACCGTCAAGATCTCACACAGATTTTTTTAAGTTTTCAACCTGTGACATTTATTAAGATGGACTAGACGATCTATGCTTATTTAATGGTTGTTAGAGTTCATTTGCTTGCCAAAATTCTGAATACTGCTGGGGCCACAGCAGGCCTTTTTCACAACAATACGTTTTTGCCAACACACAATCTAACATTTAGCACTACAGAAACTCGGAATGACCGACAGCGAACGCTGAGGTGAGGGCGGCAGAGCTGTGGTCTAGCATGTTCTAGTAGGGCTGACGAAATTGTAGGATGTACCATCGTGTAATCGCTTTGCTATTACATACACGTCCAGCTAGGAACTCAGCGTCGTCACGTTTTTGTAGGTTGTTAGTATTTAGACCGCCGGGAAGTACCAGCTTATGTTGTGCTAGTCTCGTACCTCTTCTTACTGCCTTAAACATAGGCACAAGAATAGTCGAGCATCAGTAATCAGATCTGGTCTCATGTTCATATTTTTTTCAATCATCTCATTGAATAAACACACCAATGTCAACATGTGGAACTCAGCGACGATGCCGTTCCCTCCGGGCGCCGCGTTGACGCCCAATCTCTACAACGTCTATACTTTTTTCCTATGATAGAGCGCCACACGATACTTTTAATAAGTTGGTGGACTTTTCCAATTATTGTTGCTTGAGGCCTGTCCTATGGAAGTCACTACTTCGGCCCAATGATTCATTTTATCTTTCCTGACTGACTCCTATTTTCGAAGGAATTTGTGGAAGACATCGCCATTGTTGGGGCAGATAACTGTAGGGTTCCTGGTCAGTTTCTATCGTTACGGCGTCACTAGGTTAATTTTAGAATACCTGTCAGCCGTCTCACGGACTGATGATTCCAATGACGAGTAGCTATTTTCTTATCATTCTATTAGACCCACAAATTAGACAGTGTTTCCCCTTGCCTCGGATCATATTACGCTCGAGGTATTTTGGCCCGGGATGAGATGTGCGCCCTTAGATGAAGACGTTTCCTGTTTCGGCCTTACGTACTGTCACAATTGTTTACGATAGGAAACCGACAGTTCGACCGTCGTGCCCGACGATGTCCATCGTGTGCTCCAGAGCAAGGCGGAGCAGGTACGGTAATTGGCGCATGAAATAGTTTGTAGTGAGTGTAAACTTTCGCAAAATCTGCCTCATTCTCCTCCCCACCTGAACCAGGTGTCAAGACGAAGTCAAGAAGACCAGTGGCGAGGGAAGACGCAGATGGCCGGCACGACCGGACTCGCACCTAGGCATACCACCACACCCTCTGGTCCAAAACAAACACTAGACCAGGATTTTAACCAACAGCAGCACCACAACGGGTCACAAAGACGAGGATGACTGGACAGCTGTGCTCATGACCTTTATACCCAGCGGTATCGCAAGCCCATCTACCGGCAGGGAACCAAGTGTAGGAGAAATTACAGCGCGTACCAGGCTGCGAGGACCATGGTTTACTGATCCTGGTCTAGCAGATGCTTACAGATCTTTAGATAGAAAATCAAGGGTATTTTGAATGACAGCTTTATTCCAGCTTTCAGAATCATAGGAACCTGACCTTTCTTCAGATATTCGTGTACATGACTTCTCCAGACGGGAATCTTCAGCATATACGCCATGCTGAGACAGCTGCGACTACGTGGAAGCAGCCACCTCGGGCGGATGGATGACGAGCGGCTACCCAAACGACCACACCTTTACCTTACACATCGGTCCGTTCGGTCACTTGCGAATCCATCGCACGGATATTGGCGAACCAGTACCTGGAGCACCAACCTACACTCGTCGCATTCGCCTCCACTGTCCACACTGCCCCCGCTCATTCACTCACCGCATGGGTCTATTTTGTCACATGCGTATACACGAGAGCGGAATTGACCGCAGTCTCGACACCCCTAACACCTGCGCATTCACCAGGCCTAGCTCATCCCACATCCAGTCGCCCAGCGCGTCCATCGTCAGCAGTTCCACCACTGCCACCATCTGCGAGACCGACACTAACACCACCGCCTTTTCTTGTCCACACTGTCCCCATACATTCACCTCCCGCATCGGCCTAGTCGGTCACTTGCGAATACATCGTGCAGAGACCAGCGAACCAGTGCCTTAAGTTCCAACATACATCAGACGCACCCGTCTAAGCAGCCCTCACTGCACCACATGGGCCTATTAGGCCACATGTGCATTCACGAAAACCTGGGGTAGACAACCGCCGGCTAAACCGCAGCATCACACCTTTCCCCACCTACATGACGCTACATCATCATCCACCACCAGCATCCGACTGCCACCATCCACGCAAGTGGGAAGTGTGCGTCTCGGCCCCGTCTTCATGCTGATTCTTTGTCGCATATGTAATTTGAGCCTGAGGCTATCACGGCACGCCAAGCGCTGTGGCTTGGAAGGCCGCTGGCTGACGCTCCAACGCAGTCTGCTTAGTTGTATGTGTGTATGCGTGGAGTGGCGGACTGGTGGATTGAGAACCAGACTGAAGCGGCTCCCTCTTAACGTGACCAACGGCACTTTCACGCATGTGAGATGTACGCCTCTCAACCCCTGTTGTGTGAAATCCTGGTGCTTTTGTTTAGGGAGCCAGGTCGTGCATGTGACGCGCGCAGACAAGGCTATTATATATGTCAACCACCGCGCCCATTCCCCGCGCCTGTCAACTGACCTACTCGGACAGTGACTGGGGCCTGGGAATGGGAAGGGAGATTAAGGTCGACGGCTCAGCGTATTTCCTTTACTATAAACAATCTGACGCGCTTGAAGTTATCACGGTGCGTTAAAAGCTGTTGCTTGGAAGGTTGTCAACTGACGGAATAACTTGGACCTCCTTGACTGGAGTTCTGAGAGTCAGGCTGCAATGGCTCCTTCTTAATGTGGCCTTTATGGCACTCCCAATGTGTGGGATCCGAGCCAGGCGTTGGCGGCACACCTAGGTGCGGCTGGGGCCTGGAGGAAGAGGAATAGAGGGTGAGATCGACGACTCAGTGCATTTTCATCACTGTAAACAATCTCATACACTTGAAATTATCACGGTGCACTAAAAGCCGTGGCTTGGAAGGTTGCCAACTGACGGGATAACTTGGACCTCGCAGTCGGCCCGGTGTTGTGTGTTTGTAGGGAGCGGCCGGCTGGTGGTCTAAGAGCCGGACTTCGGTGGCTCCTTAATGTGGTCATCATGGCGCTTCCACTCTGTAGGATCCGAGCCATGTGTGACGGCACGCTTAGGTGCGGCCTCGGCCGTGCCAGCCATCCTTTTGTCGTTGGTTAAAATCTTGGGCATTTGCTGTGTGGATCAGGGGATATGGAGTGGAACGCCAAGGTGCGGGCTCGACCGTGCCATCCACCTGCGCCCTCCCCTACCTCCGGTCATCCTGACTATGTCTTGACACCGGCCCAGGGGAGAAGAGAGTGCGGGAGATGCTGTGAAGGTCTACACTCACTATTAACTAAATCAACCACAAGTCATCGTCCCTGCTCTCACCTTGATATGGAGCACACGGTGGACACTGTCGGCGACAACATTTGAATTTTCGCATGACTTCTCGCGTCTGAGTAGTTTCTTTGCGTTCCTTGTTTAGAATTCAACTCAGATACTCCCCACCCCCATGCTTCTCACTGTTTTCTTCTTCATCCTCTCCTTTTCCCTCCTAAATCTCTCCTAAAACTATTTTTCGCTTTTGAAGGACCGACAATGGAGGCAATTTACAAACAGTTAAGTCAGGAGGTTGAAAAACTGCAAGAAGTTCAGGGCAACATTCAGAAACGAATCCAAGCCTACCAACAGCTGGCTGGTCAACTGTCTGAGAATGAGAACGTCGAACTCGATCTGGCAGAACTCAATGAAGAAAATAAGGTGTATAAGTTGATAGGACCGGTTCTAATCGAACAGAGTCTCGAGGAGGCCAAAGATACAGTGAAAAAAAGGATCAAATACATTAAGAATGAAATGTAGGTTTGGAGATTGCGTAAACTCACCGCCAATGGATTCTAGGAACAGGAATGATGAACTCATAAAGTCCCTGGAGAAACAGAGGGATGGCCACCGAGAGCAAATTAACAAGCTGCAGCAACGCTTCCAACAAGAACAGACCAAAGCCGCTCTGAAGGCATAACTATAAAAATACAGTATTCATGAAATATCGTGTCTATCCTTTTAACCCTACTCTGCATACGTATCGAACGTCTGTTGACCGTTTGCTGCTGCTACTGTCGCTATCCATATAGTGAGTCCGTTTGTAGTTCATCGAGGGGAACGTGTGCATCCGTCTCGGCCAGATTCTTTAGATTATTCCTCCTCAACCACAAGTTTTTTAGAGCGGACGACATATTTTATGTTAATTTGAGGTCCGAAGCCATCTGTTATTACCAGATGTGTCCAAGAAAACCAATACTGAAACATATTACTTGCATAAAGTGATTCAACTTGGAACTTGGATTCCAGCCAATGGGTGCCGATATAAGAATTCCACTGACTGCAATGTATTCAGTGGCCTGATAAAACGCTCTAAACGACACGGATTAGAGAGATTGTGACGGGCAACACGTTTTCGCTTATATTACGGCTACAGAACTCCATAATAGTTTTGGTAGCTCAGAAGATGAAGATGCGATCACTGGGATCTTGTCCCAGTGATCGCATCTTCATCTTCTGAACTGCTACCTGGGACTCGCCTGTTCGCTTCTATCAGCAGTTTTGGTAGCGTCGAAGGTATATGCCCACAGCTGTTATTTCAGGTGGTATGTGTCCGTGTACATTAGGTACTGGGGTGCTGACGGTGCGCAGCCCAACCAGATTCCATCTTCCGCTACAAGGGCAGCAGCAGAAAGCATGAAGTTTCCGAGGTATTAGGACAAAGCAGATACAAGTCTCAGGGCCATTGTCGGCGGGCGGGAGACCTATACACCAATTTAGTTTGTTCAAGCACCTGTCGCTGCACCCAATTACGGTCGTCTTAACTTTGTCCTGCCATCGGAGTAAGGTAGGTGAAGGGAGATAGGAGGGTCGCGGTAGATACCCCGAAAGTCCACCTAACTGTGAATGAACTCACGTGCAATTCTACGTTGCTGCGCCCACTTTGTTGCAGATGACATCGCCGTTCGCGACGACGGAACTGCCACTTACCGATTTTACGTGTTAGAGCTAAAATCGTGGCTGATCTAGCCGACCTTGACGCTGTCATGGATTGTACTTTTCTGCGCGTGACGATTTACAGCAGAGCGTCTGCAGGACTCGACTCAGCCCTTTCTCTATCAACGGAGACGGAATACCGAGAGCTTAAGAGTTGTCTCTTTACCTTGGCGGACTTAACTGAGATAGGCTTTGGGTCAACGTCCTTTATGGCGCCATGTCAGGCACAGTAACAATGAACGCATGAGGCGGACGGTGAAAAGCGTGCTCACACCACCTCGGCCGTCTTTCGTAGATGGCGGGGCTATAATCACGATATTGTCTCGGTGTGTTTGCACTGCTCTATTTGTGGTGAAGTCAATGTACTTCACTCAAAGGATGATTTCCAAACAACGGGCGCAAAACACTCATTCCCAACTAATTTTTATCACTCAGTACGGAATCGATAGCTGCTAATGCAGCTAATGCCCAAGAGACCAGTCAGCCGCAACGGGGTGCAGACTGAGTAATATCAAAACCCCGAAGAGCTTTACCGATAATCCGCTTACTAGCGACTTTAGGCAAGATGAACGATAGAATACCAAACAGTTAGGAAAGATTGTTGTGGACTAAAACTTGCGCAGTGGTAGAGAAGTAAAACCCCTCGACCTTAATTATGGTATTTGCCGCCATGCTGTACAACTGTTTCCGCCACATGAGCCCACGGTAGACAGAATCGAATGCTGCAGCGAAGTCAACAGTTGTCAGCTGCTAGCAGACATGGTGGAGTCCCAGAGGACGTTGCAGTGCAAATAATTCAGCGGTTCATCCACGTTCAGCTCGGAACCCGTTCTGCCAGGATCTCACCCTCGAGGCACGACATTTTGGGACTGCCTGAGACCGATAATGGTACGATCCTTGCGGCAGTATTTTCTGCTGTTTGCTTTCTTCTTGAAACCAGGCACAAGTATGGTTGGGCCTGAGCCACCGAGCGCTAGCTCGTTCGCATCTTAATAACCAAATCTCCAGGTGTGGTCATCAGGTCCTTCCGGCTAGGGTCTGAGTTATGACTGGCTGAAAACGAGAAGTAAGCTATAAGTTGCTGTTTCATTTTCCGTTGTCTTCATTGGTAATGCTTCTTGGTAGCGGAGAGAAGCCGCTGGTGTCGAAAACGCTGCACGTGATACCCCGACTATGAGCAGAAGGGTGCTGACTTCGGGAGGACTGTTAATTAAAAGATGACACCCTGCCCTGGGCAATTTGCGTCCGGGCACCTGCCGTGTTTTTCCCATTTTTGAGGCAGAGGACTCCGTCCAATACTCACTTTGATTTCTACTAAAATAAATTCAGTAGCTATTTGACTTCAACGAAAGTGGCAGCACAGTATTCGTTCTTGGGTGCTCTACAATTATGTTCAGGAACCGTTGTCCTAGAACGCAGATGGAGAAGCGCGCGCAAAGCTTAGATCCACTACATACAACAGAATTAAAAAGCAGGGACGTTTCCGCACATTTATTTTGTAGTCTTGTCAGGTCGAATCGTTGCAAAATCTAGAGACAAAACTACTTCGACTTTCACATCCTCTCTGAGACTTTATCACCGGTTCTACAAACGTTGGATCACCTGTTTCTTGGACAAAGTCCTGCAATCTCGTGCAGATCCGGTTTTTTATGAGCACGCGGGAGCGGTGAGGAGGAAAGACACCAGCTCTCGGGTGGCAGCTCATTCCGCCGAGCCCAGCCATATTTTCAAGAGGTCGAAATCCTCGCAAGAGCTGACAACCTCGTGAGCCGCGAGCTGCTCGAATCATGGTTCTCAGGGTTGCAATCCATCAACAAGCGCAATGACCTCCCGGTACCATATTCAGTGCTGAGACATTCCCTGAGCAGGTGAATCAGTCACGTGGGGAGGGCGGGTGCGCTCGACTATCCCGGTGACAGCGGGCTAAATTGCCGAGTGATCATCACGTCAACAGCCAACACTGATGATGAAATTTCGCCAATCAACGACTCAGACGTGGACTAACGAACCGTCATCGCCCTAGTTACGACCACCAGCGGTGATCGCGAGACGTGGCTCCACGGCAACCGCAGACTATAAATACGGCAGTCTTTGTGCCTCTACTACCTTCATCTGCAACCGTCTCTGATGATGAGTCTGAGTGAGAATCCGAAACGTCAGGCCGATAAACTTCTTGTTCCAGTGATCCCTTCTTCTTCTTCCTCTTTTTCTTCTTCGGAAAAGGTTTAATATAGGTCGGGAAATGGCTGTCCTACCATTATAAGACTACAGTCCAAAGGGAGGTATAACCTCCATTTCTTTTCCAAATTTCTACATAATTCTCGTCCATCTATTTAAGCTTCCAGGTTTTAATCCACTCAGACATTCCACGTCTGCTGAATAGTCTCCTCCAGTTGATCCTTCGACTGACAAAGGTGATGACTGCAATATACAGGCTTGTGTAAAAGTCCCCACAAACTCTCAACTGGGTTAAGCTCGGCGCTCGATTGTTTCTTGGCTACTTTCGTCCTCTGCGTGTGTGCCGCGGTTGTTATGTTGAAACACTACGCGTCCACCTACACACCGACGTACAAAGGACAACAGTTGAACAGATGCTGACCGGGCTTCAAACTCTCCCTGAAAAGCCCTTATTCCTGCGCCAAATAAAAGTCACCAGACCGCCACATTGCTACCTCCACATGATCGTCCACTGCAAGTTTCGGACTCTTTGCGCGTATCATGCCAGTAATAGTTCCAACCGTCCGGACAGTATTCGTCGAAGTCTCCAACAAGTGACTTACAACGAATCCTTCGTAGTTGTCTGAATTGTAGGTTTGACAGCTTCGGAGCCAGATTATGCTTGGTGGTGCGTATGCCCTTGGTTATTGCAGGTGCCTCATGTAGAACCGTTCTTTTTGCCTGAGATGGATAGTCCATTTTTCCGGTTCTTTCTTGTAATACTTCTCATGAAAGCTGCGATGGGTTTCCCACCACGAGTTTCGGTGTCTTCAGGTGTCATCAGATTTCTCTATTTCTAGGGCTTGTCACGACTAAACAGTGTTTGATTGTGTGCAGTCTGAGCGCTACCATTATCAGGGAAAATCCTGATGTTGGAAGGAGAAGACGGAATGCACCAGAATGAGGGGTTTAACCTATACAAAACCCGGAGTTGTCCTCTCAGGCGGCAGTGGCCACCGGCCAAGCCAGGGCTGCTGTTGACTGCGTCCAGTCATGCCTGAGAGTCCCTGAGATAGTGGTGGCAGCCGTTTTTGTGGGCTCGTGGGCCAAGCTCAAGCGGTGGGCAGTCAGTGTGTGTTGCATTTGCCGAGAGGTGTTATCCTAATGGCTTAGTTTGTGGTTGCAGGAGGACGGTGCGTTCAAGTGGCCTCATGGGCAGCTGCGGCTGTGCGGACGCAGGTGTGCCCGAGCTGTCGGTCGTGTGACTTCAGGCCAGCGCGTCTGCGACGGCTCACTGCAAAGGGGTGAATGACCTTGAGGCAGCGAGGTCTTGAACAATGACGCCAAAATCTCGTCTCGCTCAAAATCCGTCAGCTGCGCTCCTCTGAGCCATTGTAAAGGGCAGAAAATGGCCAGTATGTCATAAAATTAGTCGGACCCATCTACGCATAACTGTCGAAATTATAGCTGGGAACAGGTTGCCTTTTAATCGTGGTACAGAGTCTGTATTCCCTTGGCACGCAGGGCGCGGGAATATGAACTCCCGGTATTGCAGGTGGTCTTGCGCTAAATTCTAGGAGGGCTTAGGGCCAGGGTTGGGATGGTTAGTGTTGATTTCATGGTTAGAGTTAGGTCTGGGACACGGGAATAGGTGCCTCCTGGAATGTACCTCAAGGCCGCTTGTAGAAGTGGGGTCCTTATTCCAGCGTTCACTCCATTTGCAGAACGAGTTTTGTACATTGTCAGTTATGAGCGCAGAATCCGCCCTCTGCCTCCTTTACCTGTCCCCAGGTTATTTATCACTTTTTCACTTTTACTGATTATTCC